GCTGGGTCCAGCTAGTGTGCATGATGCCCAGTGTTGACAACATAAGCAGGCTAGGGAGGAGATCACAATGCTCTGAATGGATCTCCAGGGGTGTTGGCCACAGTCCCCCTCTGGAGTCTCAGCTGTCACTGTGCAGTTGCCTTCCTTATGTAGAGTCACATGATAGCTCCCACTGCCTTGGCCTGGCGCATCCATCTACCTAGAGCCTTGGTCTCTAACTTTCCTTTGTGCATCGTATGTCAGCTTCAGCTCCTAAGACCAGTCTTTAATGCAGAGTTTTAAGGGATGCCCATTTCTGACAGCTCCTGTCAGTCCAGGGGATTATTTTTGTCCTCTGTGACCTAGGGAAGTGACTGCCATGGTCTGAGACCAGGGAAGAGAGCTGGCCCAGGCTGCAGCAGGGTAATAGAACCGGCATGGGCAGTAGCAGGGATTCTGTCCTTACCACGCGCCAGCTCTGCTGACCTTTGTGTCTAGAACTCACACCGGGCGGGTATGGGGACAAAGGGATTTCTGGGTTGGTTTTATTCTTCCAGGCATTCATCATCCTGTGTTAATGACTTGGATTTGTGGCTAGTTGAGTCAGAGACAAAAGAGAGGAGCAAGAGATAGACAAAGGGCTTGGCCACTTGGCATTAGAACTGAGGTCAAACCTGTCTTTTGGACCGCATTTTCTTACCACACAAGTTAGGGAAGATTTGCCTTCGAGAGAGCCAAAAGCCTCAGATGAAGCCGTGCAGATGTTTAGGCTCAGTTTTTAGGAAACCAAACTTTAGAAAAACCAAAATGGCTACACACACAGCTTTAAAGACAAGAGTCACCTCGCTTGTCTCTGTTGAGGGTGAGGTTTGAAAAGTCCTCCCTCCCTAAAGTGACTCACGGCAACCTTAATCCATCTTGCAGCTCCTCCCTGATGCAGGATCCCCCAAAAAATGCTTCCTGCGTCCTGCAGGAAAATGCTTCATCCAGTTGCTTCATGGTTGGATTTGCGAAGCCTGCTTTAGCATTGGGCTAGCAATCAGCTGGCGATGCCAGTTCTGAAATAGCCCAGACAGCGAGTGGGCTTATAGGTGAGAGGTTGTCTTCTCCCTGCTCTTTGAACCTTGAATTAGGTCTCTGCTTTGTAAAAGGCATTCACCAAGTGTGAAAGGTTCCCTGCAGGTTGGTTAATTCCAAGGGAGTACATTGTCAGTGGGGCAATGCATTTTCACGGCCAGTCTTGTTCTGTCATATGCCACATATCTTTTGCAAGCCAAATTCCAGCGCTGCCACCTGCTTCACCGCAGGCACTGGGCTTAAAATTCTGACAGAGACCAGTAGGTGGGTGACCATGATTATTAATAGGAACTGAAGCCCTGCCAGTCTCAGCTGTGGGCGACTTGGGATGGTGTCAAACAAAGCACCCTAACTAGAATTTTGCTTTTTTTCTCTGAACACCTGATTATGAAAATAGCAGTTAGATCGCAGGGAGGGAGGCCCCACGCTCAGCCTTACACTTGATGCCTCATCTCCTTCTGTGGTCCCTGCATGCTGCTGGCTTCCTATGCTTCGCTGTCCCCTCTTCTTAGCACCCCTCCTGCAGTCCCCATTCTGGACGACCTCAGTGTCCTCCTCTTAAAGGCTGGCACTGGCTCTTCCCAGAAGCTTCTTCTGAATTCCACCCCAGTGTCCATGCTGTTCAAGTGCCCTGTCGGTGTCCCTGTGACACCCTGTGACCCCTCCGCTGCCCTTACACTGTGGGCTGGGCTCTGTCTCTGTGTCTGCAAGCGGGTGTGCGCTCTCATGCATTCGAGGGCATGGAGGCCCCAGCCAGGGCCTGGCCTACAGTCTGCACCCAAGAAACAGTGGAGCCTGTGCACTAGAACTCAGACCCTTGGGACTCTTGAGCCCAAACCAGAGCCAGTTCATTCTCATTCTGGACGCCATTCCAACAATGTCCTGGTTACTTCAGGCAGCCAAAGTCCCCTTAGGAGAGAAGGACAGTTTCCTGTGGCTCTTCATAATGGACGATAGGAGATGAGGGTCCTTTTCTGTACTTGCTTGCTGTCTAATTTCCACCGCTTGAGTAATTATTCTCAAAAATAGCTTTTAAAACTACATCTCCCCCAATGCCTTATCTTCTGTTTTTCAAAGTAAGAAAAACGTGGAGGAAACACATGTGTTGTTAGTTTGCTTCTGATAGCCAGAAAAACCTTGAGAGATACTGAGAAGAACAAAGAAATAAATGTTACCCCATATCTCACAAGCAGTGTCAGATTCTGTGGGCGGAAGCTGACTTTTGCCACTGTGTGGGGTTGTGTGTTTATTTTTGTCCTTTGTGTGCATATCTGTGTCTTTGGCTATAATTGGGGTCATTCTATAAGTTCACATTTACGATCTCTTTT